TCCAGTTTCTAACTGGCAGAGCAGGTTTCTCAGAGTAAAAGCTTTTGCCTGCTCCCAGGTTCATTTTGTTATCAAAAACTGCCTAATTGTCACTGATACCTTTTTAGTTTAATTAATGTAAGTTGAATGTGCAGGTGTGCCTTATCCCATGGAATTAATTGTTCACTTGCATAGGAGGTAGAGAGTGAAAATGACCATAGTTCTGTAGACCTGAATACTGTTGTAACAGGGCTGCAGGGCTCCAGATGAATATATTTCTTGTGAGTTTCAGAGCACTATTGATAAAAGTAGAAGAGGTGCTGACTAATACATGCACGAGATGACAGTGGTGACCTCTGGCAAGGACTGATGTCTGATATTCCCACTATCAGCACATGAAGGTTTTGGTAACCCCACAAATGTCCTGCCCCTGTGGAGACTCTTCATCAACCGGCGCAATCTGTGAATTAACTGCAATCCCAGTGAAGGGACATGAATAAGACCTTGAAGAGCTTTGGTTTCAGTTTCTACTGCTTGGAAACACTGACATGTCATAGAAATAATTTTGGCCAGAGGAAAATCATGTTTTACTTTTGTATTCACTTGTGAATGTGAACTGGTTGTTATCTCTATCATGCGTAGGTAGGATTTAATTTTCCCATCTTTATTTTTATTTTTTGGCTTTTTGGGTCACACTCAGTGATGCTCAGGGATTGATACTCCTGGCTCTGCACTTAGGAATTACTCCTGGTGGTGCTCAAGGGACCGTGTAGGATACTGGGGATTGAATCCCAGTTGGCCAATGGTAAGGTAAATGCCCTACCCACTGTACTATGGCTCCAGCCCAATTTTCTCTTTTTTAAAGAGAATAAAATTGAGACTTTCCTCATGGATTGTCATAAATTTATGAAAAAGAAGTAAAATATAAAAAATTCATTAATAGTCCCCATACATGTAGTATGTGCCATAAAAATGTCAGTCACTATTCTATTATACTTATCAGTTTTCATTCAAGAGCTCATCTAATCTCTAATACTAAAATCTGCTCCCCCTCAACCTCCCTCTCTTCTCTTTCTCTGTGGTGCTGGAAATCAAACCCTGAACTGACACATGTAAGGCAAGTACTCTACTTCTGAGCTGCGTCCCTGATCTTTCACATTCTATACTCTCTCTCTTTGTACTAAGAGAGATAACAATTTTTAAAATTGAATGTATATTTTAATATTTGGCAGAAACAATGCTTCTCTCATAATACATTCTTTTTCTTTTTTTTTTGGAATTCAGTTTTTAAAATTTTCTTTCTTTTTTTCTTATTGAATCACTGTGAGACACAGTTACAAAGCTTTCATGTTTGAGTTTCAGTCATACAATGATCGAACACCCATCCCTCCAGCAGTGCACATTTTCTACCACCAATGTCCCCATTATCTTCCCTTCCCCCTTCCTTTATGGCAGACAATTTCCTCAGACTCTCTCTCTACTTTTGGGCATTATGTTTATAATATAGATACTGAGAGACTATCATGTTTTGTCCTTTATCTACTTTCAGCACATAGAGAGCTAGCAATTTAACCAGAGTTTTGAGTCAATAAAAATTATTTCCATAAGCACAAAACCATGTTTGTCATTAGAGTTCAAATTTTAAGCAAAAAAGTAAAAGCCTTTAATGTTTTTCCAAAAGTCATATTTCTGCTATAAAGCTCACTAGGACTCAAAGTGATGAACATAATTATGGCTCTACAATTCAAATCTACATAATTTATTCTTCCAAATACACTTTCAGTGTATGTATAAAAGTTTACGCATCTCTGAGTAACTATTTAAGAATATCACCACCACATCTGCCTTTATATATACACATATATATACATATTTATTTATATATGTATATAAACACAAAATAGTGTAGAAAAACATAATCCCTTCAAATATCTGTTGCTACTTTCAATAAATAATATGCATTTACTTATTTTAATTTTTACGTAAGAAAAATAAGTAAATATATAAACTATGGTGCTTCCTAGATATATTTAAATTATTTAATAGACAAGACTCCTTAAAGTGAAGTAGGTGAGGGCTCTTAGTTACTGAGAATTGATATTCATATATGTGGGAAAAACAATTGTAATTCCATCTGCAGTAGAATTTTTAAAAGTGGCTACAGTTACTGCCTTTCCACTCTCCAAGTATCTCCTTAATAACTAGCGCTTCTCTGAGCAGGAGGAAGCATTGATATAATCTCTTGAATCAGGGTTGACTCTGTGATTTACTTTGGTCAGACTGCAGTGAAAGTTTCAGTGTGTTACTGTGAGTTCTTGAATATATCCACTCCATACCTGGTGCTGCTCCCTCAGTAAGAAGAAGCCTCACTTAGCCTGTAGGAGAATCAGAGGTGAGTCCTCACCTACCTTTGTCTCAGGCAAAAATCCCACACTTGACAGAAAAATTCATGCACAGACGGTACCGATGCATGAGAAAGTTCATTTGCAGAGAGCAGCTGATCTCTGAGTCCAACCTGACTCACAGCTAAATAAATGTTTACTACTTATGCTACAAAATTGTAAGTTAGCTCAAGTGGATGGCAGCACAGTCAACATTTGATGAGTGCTGATTATGTCAGGGACTTAGTTCAACATCTTAGACACATGATCTCACTGAATCCGCTTAATAACTCATGGTCACATGTACTTATTATTATCACTTCACAGTAGCTACAGTCATGGTTTTTTTGTTTTTTTTTTTTGCCACACTCAGGACTTACTCCAGGCTCTGCACTCAGGAATTACTCCTGGCATTGCTTGGGGGACCATATGAGATCTGGGGATCAAACCTGGGCCAGCTGCATGCAAGACAGGCACCCTACACACTGTACTTGCTCTCTGGCCTATCCCATCTGGTAACCACTAATTTGTCTTAGAGTCCAAAATTTTATTTTTGCTTTACTGAGTTCATTTGCTTGTTGTCTCTACATATCACATATAAGTGAAATGATTAGGTATTGGGGCTGGAGTGATAGCACAGCAGGTAGGGCGTTTGCCTTGCACGCAGCCAGCCTGGCCGAGCTGGGTTCAATTCCTTCGTCCCTCTCGGAGAGCCCGGCAAGCTACCCATGACGTAATCAATTTGCCCTCATGGCAAAGCCTGGCAAGCTACCCATGACATAATCAATATGCCAAATACAGTAACAACAAGTCTCAAAATGGAGACGTTACTGGACCCGCTCGAGAAAAATCGATAAACAATGGGAGGACAGTGTGTGTGTGTGATTAGGTATTTTCTTTCTCCATCTGTCTCATTTCACTAAGCATTACACTTTCTAGGTCTGGTCATGTTGAAAATGGAAGGATTTCATTTTTCAAAATTTAGTCAAATAGTACTCCATTATGAATGTTACTATTCACTTATTTTAAGACAGTTTTATTTTAAAGAAGAAAACACCTGTGAATAGCCAACCAAATTAAAAGTAACTATAGTTTAAGTTTACCTGTTTAATGATCTTACCCTTGAATTACCACTTAAAGATTGTTCCAGGAAGTTTAATTAATTCCTTCAAAATGGTGTCTTAAAGTCTGTAGTATTTGAATGAGTTGTAAATGGCAAAGCCTCTTTAACACATCAACGATTTATGCAGCATGTAGAATTGTTATGCATGTCTTGTTCTCTTAAACTAGTACCTTATTTTCTCAATCAGTGGAAAAATTTATTACAATACATTAGTAATTTAAGCTCATGTTTCTAGTGAGTCAGCACCAGACAATGGAAGCTTTTTCTCTAATTAAGTTTTACAGTATTTTACATTATTTTATATTTTCTTCTTCCCACTTTACATTATTAATGTAAGTTCATATTTCTAGAGACTCAGAGCCAGACAATTGAAGTGTTTTTTTTTCTTTAATAAACTTGAGTTTTTTTGAGAGTTCAGAAATTTAAGCAAATTCCTAGCTGAAAGTCAACTTTTCTTGATATTTGAAACTCCGGAGCCCTATTTCTTGACTTTATAAGACCATTAAAGGGAATGTTCATTAAATAATAGGTAGGCTGGACTTACATGTTTTACATTTCATCTATTTATTTTTATAGGGGTTTTTCCTCGTGTTACTCCAGAACCTGGGGCCACTCCAGGAGGTTCTTAGCCTACAGTGCTAGATTGACCATTTGGTACTCAGCCTGGTGATGCTCGACAACATCAGTGCTGAGGAGCAAAGCGGGGAACCAAACTGTATTGATTGCAAGGCATTGCTCCACCTACCTTCCTGGCTTCTTAATTTTTCATTTTCCGGGAGGTCTCTTATTTCTCCTCCATAGAGGTTGTAAGTAAAAGAGAGGAAGGGGTAGTTGCAGTTAATTCTTGGTATTGGTTGTGTCTGCTTGCTTCTAATTCTTCTTGTTTAATCTAATTCTTCTTGTTTAATTATCCCATTCTCTTATTGTGAGCACATTGTTGAAACTCTTAAAATTAAGGACTCTAAAGCAAAGAGGGAAGTGTTCTAATGTGTGCATAATCAGTATAATTCTTATGTTTGCATGATTGGTTAATGTTGTATCAGAATTCAAACCCAGGAGTCTGGTTCCAAGGATTTTTACCATTCTGCTTCTCTGACATTAAACAAGCAGGTTTGCAGATTTCAAAGGGGGACTATGTGCAAATCATTATTTTCCTGTCATATTGACTATGATACTAATATGCAAGAATGGATATTTGGAGCTGGAGAGATAATACAGGGGATCTAGCCTTGCACGTGGCTGACCCTACTTTGATTCCTGTCACTGCATATGATCCCCCTAGTGATCCTGAGTACAGAGCCAGAGCACCTTTGGGAGTGACCCTCACCCTAAAATTAATAGATATTTTAAGCTAATGAAATGTATGTAAGATTTCCTTAAGCACCCCACATCTTCTATTTCCACTTTGCTTTATTTTTTACCCATTTCTCTTCAGATTACAAGAAGTCTCAGCGACTTCACTTTTCATCCCCATTGTCCCTGGTTGTTCCTGCTGTGAACACAGGCAGTTCACTCACCACAGTTGTCCTCATCGGCCCGATTCCCACAGTCGTCCACACCGTTGCAGTGAAGAAGCTGGGGCAAACACTTGGTGATATTCCCACAGGGGAAGTAGCCGAGGGAGCACCTGACATCCTGTCCACTCCCTTGAGCAACTGTGATGAGGAGAGTGGGTGAGAGTTAATACGAAGGCACTGCAAAATGTGCTTCCCTCCCAACATTCTGGAAACGCTTATTCTTCCCATTCTGGTATGTGCAACCTTCCCCGTGGTGTCTCTCACTGTTTACTAGCCTGCTGCCAACTGTTTTCCAAGAATCTCCCCACTAATAGATGTTTTTTCTTGTGTCTGAAGAAGATGCCAACATCATTCTCCTCTTTGCCTTTTATCATGCTGTTTCCCATCTGGAATGTACTCCCCCAATTAAAAAACTATTAAAATAATAGTTATAATTGTTTTAACAAAATTTAAGTTCTACCAAGCTGTCCTTTTCTTCAAATGCCTTTTGGAAATCATGCTAAAAATCTTGAGTTTCTTACTTTTGTACCCCTGGCATAAAATAAAGATCATCTGGCATTAGAGGAGGACGAGGATATAGAGGCTAAGAGAAAAGTAATGGCCATTTGTACATTGAATAGTTCATAAGTGGAGACTGCGCAAGATTTTGTATTCATAGCATTTGAATAAAATACAGTTTCTTCCCTTTTCATATTGACTTCATTATATGTGTATATGCATTTAAAGAATATTAATGCCTTATTTTACCCCCCCCCCCCCCGAGAACCCAGACCATAAGGCAGACAGAATTCCCTTGGGACATGCACAGCACTAGAGATTGTGTGTTCCAAGTGCTTTCTAAGTCACTGAGGTATCTTCTATGGGATCATAGACAGAAAGATTTACCTAATGACCTAGGCATACATAGTGGACTAGGGTTTGAACTCATGACCTTGCACTTGCTAGGCAAGTGCTTTAAGCCATTGTGTCCATTGTGTCCTCTCTTGAGCTCCTTCTTCAGTCTTCTCATGGCTTAGTCTGTATTTCTTTTTTAAATAATGACTAATACTTCATAGTTAAGCTGTACCACAGCATATTATACATGCACCCACTAGAAGGAATCTTGGTTGCATCCAAGTTTTGGAAATCAATGAATAAAGATATCATATATACCCAAATGCAGATTTCATTGTTTGGCTTTTGTAATGTTACTTTGAAACTTTTCCTATAGTCTTTCCTTCTGGCTAGGTCTGGCAGTACCTGAATCTGTACACACACTGGAACTCTTAGATAGCTAGGAGCCCAGCCCCACAACTCCTGAAATCTACACATTGCCATGCTATTCCAGTAGAAACACAGCAAACAGAACACAGAGGACCCAAACAACACCAGCCATCTCAGTAAATTCTCAGATAACGACCTTAGTGACTCCATTGTGAGGATCTTTAATGAGATCAAAGAAACAATAGCACAGGTAGTTAGCAAAACCAGACATGTAGAAAGAAAGAATACTGAAGAGAGAAAACTACAAGCAGAAATGGAGAATACGGTAAGTGATTTAAAAAAAAAAACTCAATAGAAGCTCTGGAAAGCAACAGCAGCCAAGCAGAAGATCAAGAAGCTCCAAGATGAGATGAAGAAAAAGCAACAGAAGATGGAAAATAGTCTAAAAAGAAATGAACAGCATGCCAGAGAACTATGGGATGAACTCAAGAGGATCAATATAAGAATCATAGAGGTCCCTGAGGAACAAGGGAGAAAATTTGGTGAACAAACAGTATTTAAAGAAATTACAGAAAGGAATTTCATAGACTTAAGGATTACAGACACTAAGATCTGAGAGGCCTGAAGAGTCTCAGCAAATATAGACCCAACTAGGAAAACTTCAAAACCCACTGCACTCAAAAATGAAGAATTCCAAAGATAGACATAGAATATTGAAAGCATAAAGAGCAATAAGGCAACTTACATATCAAGGAGTTATCCTATGATTTCATAACCGATCTATCAAGTGAGACACTGTGAGACAGAATGAAATGAAGGGATAAAGTACAAAAAGTCAATGAAATCTCCCAGTTGTAATAATTGGATACTTTTATTATTTTTTTAAGAAGAATCTTTGCATTGTTTGTGAGTCCATCTGAGCAAAGTTCTAAAGAATTTTATATGAAACCAATGATAAATAAACAAATACTCATGGAAAAAATGCTCAACAAAATGACCACCTCACCAAGAATACTCATCCAGCAAGATTATCATTCACACTGAAGCAACAACACAAAGCTTCATGGATGGGCAACAGCTGAAGGAGTCATAGCCTTGAACAAGAAGCATTAAAGGAGCTTCTCTTCCTCCCCTGTCCCACCATTAACAAACTGTCATTGTTTTTCCAAAGATACATTTCCTCCCCATACATATCCTTCACATACTGTAACTAAAAAAAGCAGCATGCACGAAATAGAAAATTAATGAAAATTCCATAGCATGGTAAGAAGGACAACATGTGGCCTTGAGTATGGCGCTCACTCATGGTGCTTAGGGTAGCCTTTGCTAGGCTAAGGAAGGCTTGTCTACTCATAGATTGGTAAGGAATTTTATACATTTTCAGTAATGAATTAACATCTTTTACATTGAATGTGCTGTCTTTTTAGTCTTTTCAATATTCCTTGGGACTATTTTCTTGGGATAAAACACTTTGTACATTTATAGGCTTATTTGTACTTTCCCCTTTAAATTTTTATAATTCTCTTTACTCTTATTAAATTTTGCAGTTGTAAACATTTCCTATTTTATGCCAAATATATTAGCAAAATAATACATTTCCTGAAAATATATTAGCAAAGAAAAAATATTTTATTAATGACAGGGAAGACAGGATTATTACCATAATGAAAGCCAAGCATAAAATAAAAGTTAATACAATACACTTGGATACCAGAGTTAAAAAAATGATCTTTTTTTTAATTAGTGAAACACCATGAGGTACAGTTATAGACTTATAAATTTTTGTGCTTGGGTTTCAGTTATACAATGATCAAGTACCCATTCCTCCACCAGTGCCCATCCTCCCCCACCACGGGTCCTAGCATCCCTCCCACCCCCCATCCCCCCCATCCCACCCTGCCGCTGTGGCAGGGCATCCCCCCTTGTTCTCTCTCTCTTCTTTTGGGTACTGTGTTTTGCAAGAGAGGCATTGAGTGGCAATCATGTTTGGTCTATAGACTACTTTTAGCACGTCTCTCCCACCCTGGGAGGGTCTTCACAACACCCTTTATTTGGTGCTCTCTTCTCTATCTGAGCTTTCTTTTCACCTAGCACATGTGGCTGGCCTTCAAGTCATGGAGCAAAATTCTTGGTACTAATCTCAGCCATTCCTGGGTGTTAGTCTCCCGTTTTGTTGCTTTATGTTCCCCAGATGAATGCAATCTTTCTGTGTCTATCCCGCTCTTTCTGACTCATTTCGCTTAACATGATACTTTCCATGTAGTACCACTTGTATGTAAATTTCATAACTTCATCTTTTCTAACAGCTACATAGTACTCCATTGTGTAAATGTACCAAAGTTTCTTTAATCAGTCATCTGTTCTCGGGCACTCAGGTTTTTTCCAGATTCTGGCTATTGTAAAGAGTGCTGCAATGAACAAACAATGGCAGATGTCACTTCGACTATACCTTTTTGCCTCTCTGGGATATATTCCCAGGAGTGCTATAGCTGGGTCAAATGGGAGATCAAATTCTAATTTTTTGAGAATCGTCCATACTGTTTTCCAAAAGGGTTGGACCAGTCTGCATTCCCACCAGCAGTGAAGGAGGGTTCCTTTCTCGCCACATCCGCGCCAGCATCTGTTGCTTTTGTTCTTGTGGATGTGGGCCAGTCTCTGTGGTGTAAAAAAATGATCTGTGTAGATTAGCACTGTAGCACTGTCCTCCCGTTGTTCATCGATTTGCTCAAGCGAGCACCAGTAACGTCTCACAACAAATTGTGAGACTTGTTACTGTTTTTGGCATATTGAATTTGTCACGGGTGCTCTCCAGGCTTTGCCATGCGGGCGAGATACTCTCGGTAGCTTGCCAGACTATCTGAGAGGGGTGGAGGAATTGAACCTGGGCCAGCCTCCTGCAAGGCACACGCCCTACCGGCTGTGCTACCGCTCTAGCCCCTATGTAAATTAGGTATTATATTATATTGTATTAGATGATTTTAATTTCTTCATTTACAGAGGTTAACTTCATATTGCAATAAGTTATTATAATTGGACTTTTATTGATTTATTTTCTGATCATTGTATTCGCCATTCCTCTAAATTTTCTTGGGTCAAGCAATAGGATATAAATTTGTTTTGTGCTGGCTTAGGGGGATAGTGGAAGTAGGATTGGTGGAGGGAAGATCACACTGATGGTGGGATTGGTGTTGGGATATTGTATACCTGCAACAACTGTAGTATGAAATAACTTTGTAAGTCATAGTGTTTTAACTAACATAAATTTAAAAGAATAACTACATTAGAATGCCTAAAGAATCAAGTATAAAAGCCACCGGTAATCTGTAAAAGCCACCGGTAATAAGTAAAATTCTGTTGCTTATAATTCTTATGGTTTTTAAATCATAGAAAATTTCAAGAATAATTTTTCACTGTCAGGAAATGAAAACAATAGTTTGAATAGTCAATAAAACTTTTCATATAAAATATATTTGTGGTTTACTATCAAAACATGAGAAAGATAAATGTCTATAAATATGTCTTGCTAAGATTTAGTGGGGTATTTTAATAACAAAGTACTATCCTCATAAAGAAGCAATTCATGTTTTTGAGGCATTCATAGTACTTAGTTGCTTTAGAGTTCAAAATCAAAGAAGAAAATAGATCATTGGTTACTTATGTATCAATGTGAAATTTATGTGTAAGAGACTGTGTTGCAATTAGTGTTCTACTTGAAAATATGTATAAAAATTTTCAGTATCAGTTAATTGATAAAAACAATAAAATAAAGGACTTGTATATCACAAGATCTCTTTGATTAACATGTCACATGTTACAGAGACCTCAGGTGTAAATAAATCGATCTGTGCTGAGATTGGGTTTTTTAAGATTATTAATTATTAAGAAAAGTTATTTCAGGGTCGTATGAAAGCTCAATTTCTGTCATTTTAATGAAT